CCAAAAAACTTCCCACGGCTTGTTTCAATATTTTTGCAGAACAGTAAATACGATTCCACGCGCAGGTCGCGAGGATGAAGTCTGATCTATATAAATCGTATTTAAACTGTACTAACTGTAGGGAGCCACCTTAAAGTGACTTTCAATGAGGGGAAAGTCGTTTTGCGCGAACACCAGCGCATACAACAATATTCTGGCATTTTGTCTTAGTTGATTAGTCATAGTCAATTATCAATTCTAGGGGTGCACCGGGACTCGGTTCCGGCCGGAACCCCGATTTTTCAGAGTTCCGGTTCCGGCCGGAACTAATAAGAAAAGCATGGCCGGAACCGGAACTCTGTCGTTTTGAGAGAGAATATCAAACGTTTTTGTGGCTAACAAAAGTTCACAGTAGGAAGAAATCTGGACTACGCAAGGGAAATGTACACTATTAACATTTTCTTATGGCATTTAACGTTTGTCAATCTTTTCATTCTAACATTTGCGAACTCTCTCCTTGATGACTTGAAGTGTCTGTCGGTCTGGCAGCAGACAAAGTAATCTATGACCATATATGGCTTAATAAGGATATCTTTGTTAAAATAACCCGATATAGGATATCTTTGTTAAAATAAACCGAATATGTTAGATAGATAAATAACCAAGGACCTCTGGTTATTTGCCCACCTAACACAGTCTGTTTAGACTATAGTAGGGAAAATGTAACCCAAATAGGGTTATTCCTAGGTTAACCAGGGGAATTTATTAAAACCAGACTAGTGTTTTAGAGTGCATACTTTTTGAGTGCAACACATTGGTTTCTGGAAAAAATTGCAGGAAAAGTTGTACTAACACCACAATCCGTTCAAATTTCTAACATCCCGGCATCATACCATGCAGTAGTTGTTCAAATGTATCGATGTGATCATAACCTATAGAAATAAATAATGGCTTCATTTTCGTTTTCAGTACCGAGTAAAGCTCCACAAGTAAATGTTACTTCACCAAGTTCAACCGAACTGAGGGTCACCTGGAAGCCAATCGATAAAAAGTATTTACATGGCATACATAGAGGTTATTGTCTGTATTGTGATGAAACACCCGTGCGGCGATTGGATAACGTCGTTATGCTGGAACTCACCATACGAGATCTCCGTCCTTATACGAAACACTATGTCCAAGTTGCAGCAAGAACAACCCCAGGTTGTGGAGTTAAAAGTCGAAGAATGCCATTCTTCACTATGGAAGATAGTAAGTTGAATTTAATTAAGGTCTGTCCACACCACACGATAAGTCGTGTACGATTCTCATTCTGATGTATGAAAATTACTGCTGACGCAACAATTCCTGTTCATTTGGTTAAATATTACAAAATTTGAAATGCAACCACTAATTAAGCGTGCTTATATTCGATTACATACGCCAAATGAAGTCATATATTTAGTTCAAAGATAGCAATTCTTATCTCTTTATATGTCATTATGTTTTCATCTGTTTCCGTCATTTTCCCTTTCTTTTCACCATACAAGCGCGCTCGTGCCAGTCTTCTACCTCATCACACATGGATCAACGCCAGGATCAGCGCGTTTCCCTGCCTGTGTTTTAGAGGACCCTGATATTAGAAAAAGGTGGACATGGCGAATAAATATAGCTCAGTGGCATAGCTGCATATACTTGTTGACCTTGTCTACCATTGCGCCAACGAAGCCCAATTATGAATGTCCAACCCCCTCCACCACTGCGGTGAATATTTATAACTAATTCCTAATTATTTTTATTTTATATCACCAGAGCCAGATGCACCTCCACAAGATGTTACTGCTCACAATACGAGTTCAACCAGTTTGCGTGTGGACTGGAAGGAAGTAAATAAAACAGCACAAAATGGAATTATATTGGGTTACAACATCACATACACCATGCGCCCAAATGGTTCGACTAAAACTGCCAATGCGCCAGCTAAAACATTTTATTACGTAATATCTTCCCTGTCAGTTTGGACACTGTACAGTGTGAGTGTGGCTGCTTACACTAAAGTTGGTTCAGGACCTGCAGCATCTGTTCAAGTCTCTACGGAAGAAGGAGGTGAGTATTCACAGAAATACATTACTCTGAGATGAAATATATCCAAGATTGCATCATGTCGCTGCTTTTCATTGCTTTCCACAGCACACTTTGAACAAGGGAATTTCTGATGAAATGTAACGTTGATGTTGTCTTTTTTAGCTCCTACGGTCGCTCCTGAAATCGTGGTGGCTCAAAACACAAGTTCCTCTAGTATATACATACAGTGGCGTGAAATCAATGAAAGAGAATATGGCATTCTTCTGGGTTATCAAATCACTTATAAAGCATTGGATTATAATGAAGCAAAACTGGTGGTCAAAACAGTTTCATTAACTGCTAGTAGTTACACGATGACAGGGTTATTACTTTATTGGCGTTACGACATAAAAGTCGGTGGTTATACTAGACCAGGCGTCGGCAAGGTTGCTACAACAATAGTTCGCACTGATGAGCACAGTAAGTGGAAAGTAGCCTTATTTATTTATATATATATATATATATATATATATATATATATATATATATATATATATATATATATATATATATATATATATATATATATATATATATATCGAGATGTTTGGGCATCTGGTTCGGTAGGACTAATAGTAGATTTGTGATTAATAAGGCATGCTTAGCAACTGGACTCTGTAGCCCAGTTGGTAAGAGTGCTGCACCGGAATCGCAGGAAATTCACCCAATCCATCAACAAAACCATTCTAAAATTAGTCCTATCGAGTGCAAGAATCATATTTCGTATATTATGCATGAACTTGTGGTTAGAGCTTGACAACCGGACTCTGTAGCTCAGTTGGTTAGAACGCTGCACCGGAATGGCAGGTTCGATTCCTGCCTGCCTGCCTGCCTGCCTACTTGCCTGCCTGCCTGCCTGCCTGCCTGCCTGCCTGCCTGCCTGCCTGCCTGCCTGCCTGCCTGCCTGCCTGCCTGCCAGAGGACCTATAGTTGCATTTTTGGCAACTAGTCCTGGTTGTAAGTTCTTTAGTCCTGGTTGGGTCTAAAATGTATATAATAGATTTGTGCTTCAAAAGTCCATCTACCTATTTATAGTATTATGCCCATAATCCGTCAGACAGATCATATATACCATTCTTATTGGAAACACAAGACCATACTGTCCATATTAACTATGCTGGTAATAATTCTAGGAACAGATCGTGCCAGACATTTTATTGATACTTCGTCAAATGCTCTGTTTAGTGTAGATAATAGTATGGTTTCGAATGCAATGATTTGGAAAAAACATGCACAAGTGAGTTTTTCAAAGACGAGCACAATTTGAATTCTTTGAAAACTCAAAAGTGTATGTTTTTCCAACTAGAAATAGTACTATTACTTGAAAGCATACATGAGAAAATTATGAGGAGGGGGACGGGAGCACCACAAATATCAGCGCACACACACTTTTCCCCCACGCACACACACTTTTCCCCCACGCACACACACTTTCCCCCCACGCACACACACTTTCCCCCCACGCACACACACTTTTCCTCCACGCACATACACTTTTCCCCCACGCACACACACTTTTCCCCCACGCACACACACTTGTCTGCCCAGAAAGCAACTTGAGTACAATAATGCACCCACAGTGACAATTTATGAACAATTTTTTGAGGAAAATTTACTCAATTAGCCTTTCTCACGAAGGCCAAAATCCGTCATGTAATGTAATGTAATGTAAAACTTTATTTCAATACGCTAACTTCGACAATTATTTACAACTGGTTTCCACGAAGGGCGTATACACACAAAGAGCTAAATGTTAATTATATATAGAACAAAATATGTAAGAATCCCACCCTAAAATTTTATCATCTTCCTCCCAAACCTCCACCCCTAAACAAGTACCCACCCACCCTCACGCAAAACTAACCCCCCTCCCGCCCACAATCTATATTGTCCTCCCATCATTTGGTCCTGGAGAAATTAGCTTATCATCTGCTTAAATGCAATTTCGCCATTGTTTTAAATGGCGTAATTGACTCAGCCGCCTTGACATCTTGCGGCAGACTATTCCATAGAATTGCTCCACTGTATCCAAATGTTTTCTTTAGAAATTCCGTTTTCGGTTTTTTTAACGAGAGATCAGTTTCGCTATTGCGTAAATCATAAATATTCTGCGATGCATTTCTCCGAGAAAAAGATCTTTAAGGTTTGGCGCAGTGTGGTTCCCCAAGACTTTATACATCAATACTAGCTTGTTTTGTTCTCGTCTCCTAGCCAGGGTTTCCCAGCCTAATTTGTTTAGGACTTCAGACGATCTTACATCGTAGTCAGCTCCGGTCAGCTCATTATCTTGGGTACTGTCTGCCCTCGTGAAAGATTCTAGATAAAAAGTTGTATTTCGTAGTGCGGAGACTCCAGAAAATGTAGGAGAAGCAGTACCACAAAAATGGCGGAATAAAGGTTAATTGTTTGAGTAAAATTTCAGAGTTAATCAATATTTTGAGCAACCTTGTACCCAGGGACTTTCCTCTTGGGGAGCAAAGACCCTTATAGACGCTGGTCAGGTGATCATGATCTGCTAAAATCTAGCAGATTTTTAATTAGCAATCCAAGATCAGGTCAATAAACATTTGATATTTGGATTATTTTGATAGTTTAATTTATAATTTGCATTTTGTATGATTGTCGTAAAGAAAACCAAAATAGTTAATTAGAAATCTGCTAGATTTTAGCAGATCACGTGACCAGCGTCTACCAGGGTCTTTGCTCCCCAAGAGGAAAGACCCTGGGTACGAGGAAGATTTACTTTATTAAAAAATGAGTAAATGTGCTCATGCATTTGAGTAATTTTACTGACGTTTTTGAGTGAAAATTGTTGCAATGTTTTCACGAGAACATTACTAGGGACCCCATTGCCCTCGCATGATCTGAGATTATAGAATATTAGATCGTACATGCTTACATGTACATACATACATATTTATTAGTTATCTCAAAACATGAGCTTTTCATAACTAATTTACAAATGATTTTATAACTAATTTACAAATAATTTCTAAAAGGAATTAAGTCTATAAGTTATACATGCAATAGTTAAAAGGAAAGATTACAATCTAGGTACTTTTTAAAAATATATTAAGAAATTGTTTCTTAAGATAATGTTTAAAATGTTCAATTGAGGACAACTGTTTGGCAGTTGGGCTGAGCGATGCTATTGTAGTAATGAGAAAATCTTTTCATTGTTTATCTAGTACCAGGACGTTCCCCAGAAAATGTTAAAGGCGAAGCGGAAACATCAACCAGTATTTATGTCAATTGGGGTAAAGTCGCTTCAAATTTCGTTCATGGAATATTACTGGGCTATAACTTGACATTACGGGAAACAAGGGACATGTCCAAGTTAACTCTATACGAATTCGTTAAACAAAATGAAGTTCCAAAATATTTGGAGAATTTAAAGAAGTATACAGAATATACAATATGGGTTAGAGCAGTGAATTCTAAAGGTCATGGGCGACTAAATAGTCCTGAGGGTTACCAAGTCAGAACAAAGGAAGATGGTAGGTGTTTTTATTGATTTAACTCTCCAAACTGTTCACCTTTTCTTTTAGCTAGTAGCTAGTTTCAAAGCCAAAATAATAACAAAGTCGTTTTATGCTCTTTTTTACTTCTGACACTACAGTATATTATTTTCATATTTTGCCATATTTTGGCGGCCTACGATAACCTATATGCTGAAATAAATATCTAAACGTCAATGCATTTACAGTCATATCAGTTAGGTGAATGTTTATGGGCGCCCCAGACTTCTGACTCACAAGATTATGAGCGCCATTTGACTTAATTTATTTATAGTAAATTATAAAATTACTAAGTTAAATTTTCTCAGGGGGTAGGGGCAGTCAGTTGCCCCTGCTGCCCCCGCTTCTCTGATAGTAGAGACCTTACGATATTAGGACGGCAAATAGATCACTGAAAATAATTGAATAATTACAATATATGAATAATCTAGACATTGTTCTCGCTCTGTTTACAACGCCAAATCACAGATTTTCACGTCTTGCTACGACGGCTGCATTCCAAGCCGCAACAAGTGCAACTTCAAACTGCGTTTAGCAGAACTCTTCCCAACCATAAAACCCATATCTTCAACTTCTAAAACTCTATTAAATTCATACGATTGATAATATACTACGAACTATCTTTACTACCATTTATTTGAAGGAGTTTGTTTTGGCCGTCGCCGTCGCGTTGCCGTCCTAAACTCGTAAGGTCTCTAGTGAATAAAGCTCAAAACCCTTCAACCTTCAAGGGTTTTACACTACATTACCATTATGCTCCAATCCAATATTTTAACAAACGTTTACTCTAATATTTAATTAAGTTTAATAGAGTGGAGCGTCTAATACAAATTGAATTATGGGTCGATTACACTCAAAGCATACTGCCGATTTGCAGCATATTCCCACGATTTAATTATCGTTCTACTTGTGTGTGTGATTTGATTTCATTTTCACATTTTTTTCAGCACCGGAAGCTCCACCGTCGAACATAAGAGTTGTAAATACCTTGGGCTCGATTTCATCTTTGAACTTGGAGTGGAATAGAATTCCCGAAGACAAAGCTAACGGTATAATCCGCGGTTACTTCGTTGAGTACACCGCGGTCATCTTAAATGGCCAGCAGATAGAGCTTGGAAAACAAGTAACAAAAACATTTCGCGTGAGAGGAAATCGTTATGCTACAATAGTGAAAGATCTTATTCCTGGATCGACTTATCATATAAAGATGTTTGGTTATACTATCAAAAATGGAACGAAGAGCAGCATTGTTATTGGAGGTAATTAATTAAAAAATTCCATTTTAAATATTAAAAAGCATATTAAATTAGCCTTTCTAACGTTATGCGACCAGGGGCCGGTTGTATAAAACTCTTAATCACTTTTTTAATCACTATTTTGTAGTTAAATAGTGATTAACTCTCAAATAGGCGCTTCTTATTGGATGACGTTTGCACTTAATCATAGTTAACTTTAATCACTTTTATATACGGCAAAATGTGAAGGAGTGAATTTACTGAAGAAGAAACACAGTATTGTTGTTTATGAGTACTATTTACTGCGCTTAATTAATCACTCCTTTATTCTTGTCATCCTTTGTTCTTGCGCGATTTGCCATCCAAAAATGGGGCCAAGACCTGATCACATGGCTTGATAAAGGTTAATTTTGTCTGTCGATAATATTAAAGAGGTTCAAATACGACTTCAATGCACTGCCACTCTCGTGCTTAATACGCATTTGATTGGTTAATCAAGTATATTAATTTCATCTGCTTGGTTAATCTGAAACCTCTGTACATGCAAAGGACATTTCTTGAGCTACATGTTCAAATTTCGTTCAAAGAATTTTTCCTTGTTCTCTCCAGGGACTGAAAAAGTATGAAAATATTTTTCATAATTTATCTAAAAATGATTGAAGCACCACAAGTTCACAAAGCCAACCACCACCATTTCAGAAAAGATATTTTTCGTGTTTTACACAACACTATTTATCTATGCTACTTTAAGTAATATTTCAAATCCGAGTATGAGGACTGGACCAGATTTCAAGTTCGATCAAGTTTCTAGGACTGGATCAATATACTTCACCAGGTATCCAGTATTATCATGTGAACAAAATAAAGCAATATTATTGGCTAAATAAACCACTGGCATAAACAAAAAAGTATTTTAGGAATTATTTTCCTGTAGAGTAAATGATCTCATGGTTGTGGCATGTCCAAGGTTGAAAACGAAGAAAACTATTTTGCAGGGCATGAATCCCACTCGGAATTTGTCTGTAAACATTTTTTGCCCGGAGAGAGTGGGAAAACCGGGAAACATTTGACGAAAGACCATAATTTTCATATGTTTTAGTAGCAATATTTTTCAGTTTGCCCAGCCTTAAATATTGATTTTCTTATAGAGACTTGTAAATGTCCCGAGTATCTAAAAGTGAACTGGTGGAGAATTCCTCCGTATACAGATGGTAATGTGTTGGATCCAGGTGGCATATTTTCCCGCGCAGTTCAGATGATGTTAGACATGTGTGGAACATGTAAAAATGGTCATGGCAGGACTAAAGCCTGCTATCGTCCAGGGTGTGATCAGCAATCTTCTCGCAGGCGTCGTGCGGTGGACACATACCAACAAGAAACTTTTCAACAAGTACTAAACAACATCAAAGACAACGTGGATATTAGTTTTCCAATCCAAGGGAATAAGTATACGACCCATTATGGCGGAGTATTTCCTTACATTTCAGTAGTGGAGACTTCAGGATCAGTGTATTTCACTGTGAAAAACATCCCTTCAACCGCCCACGTTCTCGTTAACGCTGCCTTCTATTCAATTCCGTTGCTGATTCTTATCACTCTCTTATCGGGTCTCGCTGGAATCATTATTTGGGCTTTGGTAGGTGCTATTTAATATACGTTTTCATTATGAACATACTGAACCAACCTAACTATATTTATACTGAATAGAATTACTGAATAGCTCAATCGGTTCTACAATGTTTTCCTCAGAGACCAACGCCGGTTTTTGGTGGAAATGCTGGAATTTTAAGAGCCCCCCCCCTAAACTCAACTACGTGACGTATGCTCGCATATACTACTGTACATACGTATCAGTGTACCTACGTATTATGACCGTACGACTCCCCTTCATGTATACAAAGTTTCTTTCGAAACATTGCATTTAAAGGGGTACTTGACACTGTCACTGTTTCACTGTTTCAATTTTACAGAAAAACTTTCTTACAAAGTGTAGACCCCATTAAAGCAACACATAAAAAATTGTCATGCATCCGTCCAGGCACAGTTAGAACGGATCGTTTTTAGTCCAATCTCACTACGGTACGAAACCTAAATCATTTGATTGCCGAATGGCTCAAATATACCTCCCGTATATCATTCTGGATTACTCTGTCCAGTACAGTAAGGGTTAGCCCGTATTAAATCAAGTGTTGATAATGTCAATGATACAGAATGAGGTTCATAGCACTTAGGCAAATTTTAACCAGAAAACTGCATTTTTTTGGCAATAGTGGCATCAGGAATTCCCTGACAGAAGGGGCTAATAAAAGACGTATTTCCTGCATTTAGAGGATACTTTGCGACAAAATACAAGTATCTGCAACGGTGTGTTTAACAGTACTGCCAGACATGCCCGTTAGAAAACACTGTTTCTTCCTCAACAAAATGCTAATTTTCCCCCTTTCTTGCACCGCTTGACTATGAGACTTGTTTTATTTACTATAGGAACGTTCCTCCAATCCAACAAGTTTTCCCTTGTCCTTTACGAAAGGATTGAGAGAAGGATTTTGGTGGGCTTTCATATCCGCTAGTACCGTTGGGTAGGTTTAACAAGAGTTTGGCTCGCCATATATCTTAATTACTACTTATGAATGGCGACGCTTTTGTGAAAACGTTTCAGAAAAATTTGCTATTCTTGGCAGGCCTTGCCTGGAAACGTGCTCGATTGAGCACATGCGCCTAAAACCCGTTTTCTACTAGGTATTCGCGCGACTTGTTCATTTGTCGGCGTCGCTTATGCTGATTGTATGAGTGATGCCGATAAAGGAAAGGTTTCTTCGATCGCGCGAACAAATCCGCCTAGTGGAAAAGGGCGTTCCTAAACATATGTTTCCACGCGTCTTTAGTCAAGGGTCTTTTTCCATGATGGGGCAAGGCCTACATAAATTATGTGATTGACGAGCATAACATTTCACTAAAATATTTTTAGTAGGCAATATTAGATATTTCTATATATTGTTCCCCCAAACCTGTTGTCCGGCTGTAACAGACTTGCCACAAGTTGTTCCAAGACTAATACAGCCTGTTTGTAACAAGTGGCTAGGAACTTGTTGTCATCAACTTAACATCTTGTTACGTGCAGATGATATCAGACTTGTTGGAACAACTTGTTGCGAGTGTGTTGGCCTCATTAACCTTGCTTCAAGATGATGACAACTTGTCAGTAACTGGGAGAAAGCAGTGCGCACACATCTTGTTACTTTCGCTCGCAGAAATATCGCATAATATAAAGCTTACTTTGGGAGCGCGAGCCAGCTTGTTGCTATTTGACATGAGTTTTCTTTTGCGAACGTGAAAAAAACCCTGGGTAACCAATTCCTGACAAACTACGAGATTTGTATACGGGTGTACATTTCGAGGCACATTTAATAAACTCTGCATGGTAAACCATTATACTATATATAAATATACTAAAGCGCTTCTCTGGTGGCGAGCCATGCCTGACATCCAACCTTATACGCCTTGATTCTTGTGCGTAATAATATTTTTAGCTAATCGTCATCGTTATATTTTCACGTAGTTATGGTGACCGTCGACCAGTCACGATTCCCGGCAAGTTGTTTGCGATCAGTTGGATACTTGTTGGTTATGTCATAATCACATTACTTACCAGTTTAATGGTCAATTCAATCACTTCCGTTCTTGTCACACAACGTACGAGCATCTATGGAGCTAAGGTGAGTATACTACATGACATTTTTTCGTCGATGCAAAATTTGGGGAGCCATAGACCGATTCGAAAAATGGTGTTATTGTTTTTTCTTCCCAAAAATGCCAAAATTAATTCCAACCAAGATGATTACTGCCGCCTTATTGAATACTTCAAGACTATCAGTTTTTATAAATATATAATACCATGTATTCTCTTTGAGAAACTAAAATGCCGGACATTTCAGGTAGATTTAGCAAACAGGCCTGACTAGCCTCGTTTTGGTGCTTTCTGCGCATTTCAAAAGGCTATAATTACGCTTGCATGGATTGTTTTCAGTCTTAAACTCTTACACTTTGTAAGTAACAGACTCTGTTGAAAAATTGCTTAATAGCTTGGTAATACATAAAATATAATTTTTTTGAAAATTATGGTAGCTGGTTTCGAATCGGTTAATGGAGCGATGCTATACTTCCATACTCTTTTAAAAAGAGCAATTCCAAAAATCATGTGGAGACAGTGGAAAGCTGAAGTTACTGGCCAACAACTCTTATTTAGCTATACTTCTAACCAGGAGCAGTTGCGAAAAATACAACTGTAGGTTCTGTGGCAGGAATCAAACCTGCGGTCCTACGATTCCGGTGCAGCGCTCTTGTCAACTGAGCTACAAAGTTCAGTTGTCGTGCACTAACCGTATGTTCATGTATATATACTTAAGGTGATTCCATATTGTGGTAAGGTTCATGCATGGGTATGAACATCAGGGTAATCTCATCAACACCCTTCAACATTAGTTCAATCGAGTGTGATGTCCAAAAAATGCTGATATTTAGTTATGGCTGCTACCCTCCACAAAACTAAAATCTGCAGGCATGAAGTTGACGCTTCTAACTTCAAAGACAAAGATATATGAAGCCAACTTTTGGGTAAATGATTCTATTTTTTTCATTTTAGGTTGCCGCCGTACAAAATTCCACGGAATACGGCAAAGCTATACGTCAAAATGGCAAGGGTGAGTATCATAAGCCAATATCGGACGCAAAATATAATTATTTCTGCTCACTGTGCTCGCTATATAACTGGAGAGACGATACTTGTAGTATACGATTATATAAACTGGTGTATCAAATTTCGCCGTAAACTGATAAACAGGAATAGTGGCGTCAGCAGTCATTTTCATACGCCAGAATGACAATCGTACATACGACTATAGTCGTATCGTGTATAAATGGACCTTTAATGACCGTATAGAACACAGTTTTAATTGCCGTTCATTCTCGTTTCTATAGTGTGTTAGAAATTGCAAAGTTATTTCCTAGCTTTCAGTTCATACACAAATTCACCTCCAAACTTTGCCTGTGGCTCCAAATAGCATTCCTGGTCTTTTTTCAGTTCAGTAGTTGCGTCTGCGCCATATATGATTTCCGAACCCTGCATGGGCTAAACTTTAACCCGCTAAAATTTAACCCAGGTCGGTTTGTTTTATAATTATCTTTTGAGATGATGCTATTCTGAGTGTGTCCACACCTGGCAAGCCAGTGAAATGTTTGCCCGACCGCGGTGGGAATCGAACCCGCGACCCACCTGATGAACCTGAGTATATACACCACTGCAATAATTACATAAATGATTGTTTTATATTCAGCCAAAAGATAGCAGGGAAAATATTCTAAGTTTACAGGATTGAGCTAACCGCCTTTCGAACAACTGCCCGGCCCTGATCATTATTTCACTCTATACTTATTTAGAAATTATTTTATTTTTTAGTGCAACCATTTGGTAACGTTGACGAGGTGATCAACGCCTTAAAAGATAAGGTTGTTGACGGCGCAATAATGGACATGTACGCTGCTGCAACCAGGCAAGACTTATTTCAAAGTGGGGATGTAGAACTAAGCAGACAAATCGAATATCCTTCTGGTTATGGGATTGTTCTGTCCGGAAGAATGAAAGACTCGGCGCCAATGATAAATGAGTATTTTAAAAAGAAAGCGCAAGTTCTGCTCGAGTTTATTCAAAATAATACCGACATTGTTACTCAGGTATTGGATCAATCTCTCTATTTTTAACCACAATTTTTATCGATCACGTTGCACGAAAAATGAAAAGATTATTTCTTTCGATTGTACCCTAAAACAGTGTAGTTTAAAGACGAAAATTGTACAGTTTGTACAGTTGTACAAATCGGTTTCATGCAGTGCAGTTCAATGCGGCGAAGGAATTAAGTGTGCATGCCAATCTAACGATCGAGATCACTGATTTTAAAATCTAGATCGAGATGCACAATATATCATTGCCATCCATATACCTAACACTGCATGACATCATCTTACTATATATATACAAGAACTTACGGTTAGTGGTAGTGGTAGGGGTAGGGGTAGGAGTAGGAGTAGAACTTTATTTATTCACGCTGACCCCGTCAACCGTAGCTGATTTCCACAGGGGGCGTGTGCCAGAAAATTATTTTACATGCAGAATATGATAAGGATAAGCTAAGTTATTACAGTAATATATAAATTTAAAAGAGCTATTTACAGGTAAGTTATATTTACAAAGGTTACCAAGCACTAATGTGAGCAGCGATTTTATTTTGAAAGGAAGAAAGTGACTTGCTTTCCCTAATTTCTTTTGGTATCCAGATGATCTTGATACGCGGAAAAGTACTGGCACTAGTTGTCAAATAGAAATCCATTTTATGATTAAAACAACTGAATATCTCCTGTAATATACTTTATTTCGATTCCATATTTTTGTCAGAACTAGAGTTCTCATAACCAGACATAATTACAAAATTTCAACTAGTTTCATAAAGAATAACGAAAGATATAATTGACTGAATACATCAAAATGGATTTCTATTCGGACAACCCTTTCTGAGCGCTGATTGGCTAAAATACGAACACGAGATCACCTGGATAGAATTCCAAGGCCTCAGGTTCGATCTCTGCCGGAGGGCATAAAGTTGATTTTTTCGCAGCTGCTACTCGGTTAGATCTAAAATTGCCTTTCGTTATCAAAAATTCTATCTACTAGAAAATTTCATATGCTAAAACCGCATCTACTTTCAGGGAACCTTGGTTGAGGGCTCAAATTTTTCTGCTAAAGATTACAATATAATATTATACGGAACTGTCTTTAAGAAGTGTTGTCATGCATATGAAGCAATATGGCTTTAAGACTGATAAGGCATACAAGATAAATTCTGAAGTAGTCATAATAGTTCCAGTTTTACAGGATTAAAAACAAATTTCCTACTGCAGGCTATATGAATATTTTCCTTGCGAACTATTCCCCCGTAATTTAGGTATCGAGTTAGTAAATTAATTAGGTATCTAGTAATTTAGATAATCAATCAATGTAATTTTCGGAATTAGATCAAACATCGAAAAAACGTCTGAAAATTTCTGCAAAAATGTAAATCCCCCAAAAATTTCTGGAAACTATACATTCCCACGTTCCACCTCTGTTACATTCCATCCCCCTTTCCATCCCCCACCGCCTTCTCTCTACAGATTTGCCTTACCGCGTCTTATGAATTTCTAGAAACAAAATCAAGCGCAAGAAAGAGCAGAGAAGAAGTCAGGAATATTTGACGCAACATCTGGTGCTTATAAAGTGACAATTATTGTGATAACTTCCTTGCTCGCTGCATCTCTTGTCGGGGGATTGTTCTGGCAATACAATTACCATGCCAAGGCCGTGAAGATTCGAGACGAACTACGAAGTAAGTGTTCATTTACCAAGCTGTCTCGACCTGTGGGCTGAACATAGCTTCCTCCCGCGCAGGCCTCTCTATGGTTTTTTTCCTGCGAATGGGTTTTGAAAAGAAAAAAAAACTTTTTCCGACCACCCCATTCCTCGGGTGAGATGACTGCGGAGGAGGCTATAGGATGAACATTTCTGTTCGCTTGTTATATTGATATGAGATTTAATACCTCATACCACTGATCACTTCCTTTGCATTTATGTTTTTGCTGATGAAATACGATATTTAAATTGTGTCCTGATTATTCTTACTTTAGATTCAACACCTGTGTATGGTTACTATAAACATTTGCGGGAAGATGTGCGAGATTCGTGCGAAGACCATTTTAAAGACCTCATGAGCAAGCTTAGTAAGCTGAGAAAGAAACACATGAAAGAGCTGAAGTTACTAGCAAAATACTACAAGGAGTCTGGACATCCTTGGCCTGTAGTCAGGAGTTTCAGGCCTGCATCAACTAGCGCAAGTAGTTTTACTCGTATACGAAAAATGACCGCTTCAGTGACACCATCCTTGAATGATCGCCACAATATTGCGTTACAAGTCTTGGACGTTGAGACAGAGCATGAAAAACAGCGTTCAAAAGATTCACAAGTTTAGAAAATGATAACTGGAACTTACTGCCGCATTTACACGTTCAGATCCCAATAAATTCGAACTTGTCACAGCAATATAGCTTCAAAATCAATAAACTTTTTGGCTGCATGTTAAACCAACTAGAGCACTGAATAATTACTTTATATATAGTGAATAGTTTTTCGCGATGAAACTTTTATTGACTTTAATTTGGTTGTATATAGGAATACTAAAACAGCAATGCTGTTGCTATACTTTAAAACATTTTTGTGAAACATCCGTTCTTTATAGTTTGCATGCATAAGAAACGCGTCTGGTAAATCACAGCCTATCAAGTTGCGATGGTCAGGAAACTTAACAGAAGTCATTATGTTTAAGTTAATTTGTGCACGGTGATTGAGAGCTCATGGTATTTTCGTATAATGAAGTAATCGTCCAGTCGGAATAGTTGAGGTGAAACGTGCAACCACGATGAATAATATCTAATGAAATTGAGAATTGATTTGTGCACGGTGAGGTACAGTTCAACATCAAACAAAGGTCTTCTATTCGCTCACGGTGATTGAGCTCATTGTATTTTCGAATAATTACGTAACCGTCCAATAGGGATAGCTGAGATGAAACGTGCAGTCATGATAAATAATATTTCATGAAGTTGAGACAAAGGATTTGTGCACGGTGAGGTACAGTTCAACATCAAACAAAGCTCTTCTATTCGCTCACGGTGATTGAGCTCATTGTATTTTCGAATAATTACGTAACCGTCCAATAGGGATAGCTGAGATGAAACGTGCAGTCATGATAAATAATATTTCATGAAGTTGAGACAAAGGATTTGTGCACGGTGAGGTACAGTTCAACATCAAACAAAGCTCTTCTATTCGCTCACGGTGATTGAGCTCATTGTATTTTCGAATAATTACGTAACCGTCCAATAGGGATAGCTGAGATGAAACGTGCAGTCATGATAAATAATATTTCATGAAGTTGAGACAAAGGATTTGTGCACGGTGAGGTACAGTTCAACATCAAACAAAGCTCTTCTATTCGCTCACGGTGATTGAGCTCATTGTATTTTCGAATAATTACGTAACCGTCCAATAGGGATAGCTGAGATGAAACGTGCAGTCATGATAA